CAGAGAGAGGGAAGAAAATGTGGAAAGAGGAAGAAGGGAATGAAGAAGAAGAAGAAGGTAGGGTGAGAGAAGTGGAAAGAGGGACGGAGAAATAAGGTGGAAGGGAGAGGGTTAGGGACGTGCTCACCCCCCCCCCCCACACACACACTCGAGCTCTGTAGCTGTCCTCGCTTCCACCTATCCACCCATCGGTTCGAGACGATGAGTTTTTTTTCATTCTTCTTCTTTCACATTCATCCGTCTCCATTCCCTGTCGTCTTGGCCGCACTCCGCCCCCTCCTCCTCGTCTTCCCTTCCTTACTTACCTGTTTACCGAGACTATAATTCGCGTTTTCCTCTTCCCCCTCTTTTCTGTCTCTTTGTCACTGTCTCTACTTTAATTTGTCAAAAAATTACTTTATTTCAATTATCATACGAGGAAAAGGAGTGGAACATACATATATAATATATATAAATATATATATATATATTTATATATATATATATATATTTATATATATTTACCTTTATATATATTTATACATATTTATATATATGTATATATATAGCGAGAGAGAGGGATAGGGAGGGGCGAGGGAAAAGGGGGAAATAAGCTACGAGGTCCCCTCTCCCCCCACCTCCCCCGCCAACTTCCGGTAAGACCCCAAGCCAAGTCTCCCCCCCCCCCTCCACTCACGTCACAAGCTACGTACCTACCCTTGGGGCACCGATGGGGGGAGGGCCAAGGAGGTATCAAGAAAGAGAAATAAAGAGAACGACAACAAAGAGAGGGAGGGAGGGAGGGAGGGAGGGAGGGAGGGAGGGAGGGAGGGAGGGAGAGAGAGAGAGAGAGAGAGAGAGAGAGAGAGAGAGAGAGAGAGAGAGAGATAGAAACCACCTTCCCAAATTATCAAGCGGCAGGAGACTTCCCCTCATCCTCCCCTCTTCCTCTCTCCACGCCGAGGCCATCTCCCTACGCCCACGCCCACGCATTTCAACCAAACACGAGAGGGACTGCCTCTAGCTACCCCCCCCTTCTCTTCTTCCCTCCCCTCCCCTCCCCTCCCCTCCCTCCCTCCCCTTGTCACCAACCCACTCCCCACCTACGCCACAGGCCTACAGCTTCATCTCGGTCGCTGGGACTTATTCGTGGGCGCAATAAGGGTGTATTTTGTAAGTGCGCGAAGACAGATACAGACATGAATGAAAAATAATGATATTGTTGGATAGATGTATAACTATAATACAGATTTACAGAATATGTAGGCAAATATACATCCAAGCATACGCGCGTATGTACACAAACCCATCTCTCTCGCTCTCTCTCTAAAACACACACACACACACACACACACGAAATGTGCACCAAGAAGGGCGTACTCACTCTTGCGCGTGCGCGGCGGGTCCCTGCGGCGTGCCGATGACGAGCGCGCCCTCCTCGTTGTAGTGCAGGCCCGTGACGGCGGCGTCGGCGAAGGTGCTGATGAACGGGCCCAGGTTCTGGAAGGCCGCCACGCGCACCCACCTGCACGAGGGAGACAAGGCGAGGCGACGTGAGTAAATATGCTATGAGGAAAAAAATTAAATAGGATGGTGTGAAGAACACAAGGGAAAGGGGGGGGGGGGGAGAAGTGTGGGGGGAAATCATCAAAGATTAGACAAATTCATAAAATGATTAAAAAAAACAGCAGAATAACAATAGACATGCGACTGAAAATAAAGTCGCCGTTACTGTATCAAGAACCAAATCAATATTAATAACAAAAAACACGTACACCCTCCCCCTCCCCCTCCCCTCCCCACCCACCTCTCCCGTTCCGCAATCACTCAAACCTCACAATATCCTCATTTGCCCGGAAGAGGGAAACAAGAACACGGCCAGGGCAACGACCTAACGACCTATCAATCGGCGATCGGAAAGGAAATGGGAAAAAGGAACAAGCCCCGCCTCCAGTACTGTAGTTCCAACAGCCCAACATCCCGAGAACCGCCCCAGTGGCCTAAAATCCGGGGCTGCGGTTCCTATGCACAGTGAGAACCAGATCCGAAGTAAAAAAGGGGATTCATTTGGAGGAGAGAGGACGAGGATGAGGATGAGGATAAAGAAGAAGAGGAGAAGGAGAATGAGGAGGAGGAGGAGGAAGAAGAAGAGGAAGAAGAGGAAGAAGAAGAAGAAGAAACAAGAAGAATAAGGAGAAGAAGAAGAGGAAAAGGAAGAAGTGGAGGTGGTGGTGGTGGAGGAAAACGATAACGATAATAATAATGAGAATAAATAAACACTGGAAGAAGAACAGGAAAAAAGGAAAAGAAAAAAAAAAGAAATAGAAAAAAAGGGAAAACGGAAAAAAATCAAAGAAAGAGAGATGAAGATGAAGGCGTAGGCGGAGGCAGGAGGACGAGATGATACTACTACTACTACTTTACGTTCCATCCCCCCCCACCCCACCATCTCGCTCCCTTGCCTAATCGAGAAAATGGCTTAGAAAAAAAGAGGTAACGTGGGTTGATAAAAAATAAAAATAAAACAAAAAAGGGGTTGCAAGTACACTTCATCTCGAATTAAACCGATTCGCGTATCCATGTTGGCGGCGGACGCGCAAAATCACCGAAGTGAACTGCTCCATGTGTCGGGGCTCCGTCTGGTTCCCTAAGAGAACACCCTCCGCCCTTTAAAAACTTCCTAGCCTCTCGCAGTACTTGATCTCTTTTTCTCCCCTTCTTCTTCCTCTTCTTCTTCTTTATCACACGCTGCTTCGAATCACCCTTATGTTTGGGTTACTTCTTGCTTCTCTCTAGCTTTGGTCTCTGGTCTGTCTGGCTCACTCTTACTCTTACTGTCAATTTATGTTTCATTCCCCCCCCCCCTCTCTCTCTCTCTCTCTCGCACACGCACACGCACACGCACACGCACACGCACACGCACACGCACACGCACACGCACACGCACACGCACATACACATACACATACACATACACATACACATACACACACAGTAGTAACATGGGGACGTACAGTTTCACCGCCTTTAACCTTTGCAAAACGCCCCTCCCTCCTCCTCCTCCTCCTCCTCCTTCCTCCCTACTTATCTTCTTCCCCCCTTCATCCCCTTCCTCCCTCTCTCCTCCACTGCTTCTTCTTGTTCTTACTATCCTTATTATTCCTCCTCCTCCTCCTCCTCCTCCCTTTCTTTCTCTAGCTTTGCCTCTGCGCTCGTCCCCGATGCCCAAGGCGGTTTAGTCAATCAATCTCTCTCTCTCTCTCTCACTCACTCACTCACTCACTCACTCACTCTCACACACACACACACGCACACGCACACGCACACGCACACGCACACGCACACGCACACGCACACGCACACGCACACGCACACGCACACGCACACGCACACGCACACACACACGCACATACACATACACATACACATACACATACACATACACACACAGTAGTAACATGGGGACGTACAGTTTCACCGCCTTTAAACCTTTGCAAAACGCCCCTCCCTCCTCCTCCTCCTCCTTCCTCCCTACTTATCTTCTTCCCCCCTTCATCCCCTTCCTCCCTCTCTCCTCCACTGCTTCTTCTTGTTCTTACTATCCTTATTATTCCTCCTCCTCCTCCTCCTCCCTTTCTTTCTCTAGCTTTGCCTCTGCGCTCGTCCCCGATGCCCAAGGCGGTTTAGTCAATCAATCTCTCTCTCTCTCTCTCTCTCTCTTTTTTTACTGGTAACTTTTATTACAGGAATATACGATATAAGCCTATATTAGAAAAATATATATATATATGAGAGAGAGAGAGAGAGAGAGAGAGAGAGAGAGAGAGAGAGAGAGAGAGAGAGAGAGAGAGAGAGAGAGAGAGAGAGAGAGAGAGAGAGAGAGAGAGAGAGAGAGAGAGAGAGAGAGAGAGAAAAAAAAAAGCAAACCCAAAGAGCAAGAGAGATGAACTACCCCCTTCCTTCCCTCCCTCCCTCCATACCTCCCTCCCCTCAGCCCTCACCCCAACCCGAGTAACCCACCGACCTGCTCTGATCTGTGAGGAGGGAGACGAAGAGCGGGGAGAGCTTGTTCTTCCTGGTGGGGAGCGAGCAGGCGCACGACACCCCCATGAAGACCTCCGCGCACGCCTTCCGCACGCCCCACACGCCGTCCTCGCACAGGAACACGAACCGGGACACCTGCGGGAACAACACAAGGAAATCAGTAAAAATAAACAAAAAAACAACAACAAAGATCTAATAAATAAATAAATAAATAAATAGAACAAGATAAAAGAAACACTGAAACAAAAGCAAAAAACAATGAAAAAAGGTTCAAGGGGGAGAGGTTGCTTCTAAATAAAATATACGAAAGAATCAAAATGTGTAAGGAACACGACAAGGCAATGAGTAATAAACAAATACAAAAATAAGGTACAACTAATAAAAAAGTTAAAAATAGAGTGGTGTCAGAAACATAAGTAAGTTAACACATGAACATATAATAACAATGAAGTTGATGGAAGGAGGAGCTTGTCAAAATCTAAAAACTAAAAATGAAAAATAAATACAAGAAACAAAATGTAAATAAATAATAAATAAACGAATGTGGAAGAATGGGACACACACCATTTTGCATTAAGAAAATGACCTTAATAAATCATACAAAGTTAAATCCATTATGCCTCGCCGTGAACATAAACGCGACCGAAAAAGAAAATGTAACAAAATATTAATTTTCTTGAACGTATCACAATGTTAGTCAACAAGACACCTCACTGCATCCGGGAACAAGAAAACGGGAAAAGAGAAAGGAAACAGAAAAAAAAGAAGACCTAAAAATGATAAAAAAAGGAAACCGAGACGGGAAAGAAGACAAACAAGGGAAAATGTTCCGTCAGCCATCTTATCCCAGTGGCGTTTTCCCCGTGCCAAAAATACCTTTTTAAAAAATACCCCCTTTTTCCAGTGTGTGCTTGAAGGAACCCGCGGATGAAGGAATGAAAGAAAGAAGGTGGGGGAGGGGAAGGGGGAGGGGGAGG